TCCATTGTACGAAAAATATAAATATATTCTATAGTACAAGAATTCTGTAGATGCAATATTGTGTCGTTTTTTGTCGAATTTTGCTGCCACAACCGGAGTTCTCGCCGATGGAATTTCCATTGTATTTTTTTTTCTTTTGTTTTTTTTTTTTTGCGTTTACGTATCGCGGCTACAATATACCTAATTCATGCTTAATTCATGCCGCGACTCGCAGCGCGGATCAATTATGTAAAATATTCCATCCCGATGTAAGCGAAATCGTGCTGCATTCCGTAGCGCGAGAGATCGAGGAGATTCAGCGTAACTCGGACTCGCAGTTTCGAGGTGTGTGTCGACTTGCCTTTTCCCTGCTTTATTTTCCGATCGAGGTGGACGAAGGCAGGATACGTCCGGTGATCTGAAATACGGGCACGTAGAAGCGAAGAATATCGGTGGCGCGAGCGATACATACGATTTACGATATATCATCGACCCGCAGCGCGCACACAGGAACGTTTACGTATGTATGTACGTGTGCACCATCAGGACAATGATAAAATAATAAATTGCGACCCCATCCGTGGGGAATCGAATCGAGTTCTTTTCACGCGTTGCACGCCGAGACTAGAATACGACTTCGGGATTGGAATATTGCCCGGATACATCGACGTTGACTCCGGATCTTTAATGGATGTATTATGCTCCGCACTGATGCAGCGAAACATTTGTTATTTATGCGTAGGAACGTGTTCTGTATCGGTATAACGCGATGCTTCGAAAAACCGCCGCGATATCGGCCGAATTATCGTGTACCATTTTGTGCAAGTACGTCGCGGAGTGATATAAAGTTCGTCGCGTAAAACGTTATTACTTCGCCAATTTTATGACATATTGCGCGACGCACATTATGACATACTTTACGATATTACGTATTTCACGATACTTTCTCTAGAGCAAAATTTTATAACGATTAGCGTCAATTATATATCACTAGATTCTTTCGCAGGAGTTATTTCTCTTTTGAGAGCCATGTGTTAAAAATGCGGTTATAAATTCGTCAATAATCCTGAAAAATCGCGCTATCAAATGTTGTTTAATTACGCGAGTAAACTCGATTATTTCCCAATTTATAAACCATCTATAATTACATTCAATAATGAATATATACACCGCGATCGAAATTATAAACCACATTATTCATGAAATTACGAACAAAATTGCATAATTTTTATATTTCTCGTTATAAAACAGCTTATTCAAAAATGAATTATTATTATAATATACCGTAACAACGTCGAACATTATCAGTACATTTAATACGCATGCCGCAAATTTCGAGCTCGTAAATTGAGCTACTGTGCTAACTATACCAGATGATAATGAGTGCCCGATCACGTAAGCCGCATTCCTCGATATTGTAAATACCACATATGCCGATAATTTGCAAATATAACATCACCTTATTTCCAATATAATATCTTACAGATATGAATTTCATAAGAATAATATGGCGAATAAAAGAGGAAAGCAGTAGAAAGATGCACGAGACGCACAAGCGCATTTTGTTCGATATTGGGAAACTTATTCCAAACTTTAAAAATAAAGAGGAAATTCCCCACAGATTCTTGATATTTTTCGGAATGTAATAAATGCAATAGAATCTACAAAAATTGCTGAATAATAGTCATGACCGAAGATTCATTTTAGATTTATAATTCGAGGCGATAAAAATTTCGCAATAGAGTTTTATTTATAATTTTATACGTCTTGTAATATATGTAAAAGATATCTGAAAATGTTTTTTCGATTATGCTAAATATACACTAAATATATATATATATATATAAAACGTGACATACATAAAATTGTAGATTTTTGTCTTAAATTCTGTCATGAGTTATGATCATTTAAACTGGATTAATGCATTTGATATTGTATACAATAATAACTGACAGCTGGCTAAATTTGTATCTTAATCCGTAATATACGAGCATTTATACAGATAGCAATTCTCATTAATAATTCCTAATACTCTTGTCAACTTGATTTCTACATTAGATTATTTCACTCAAGTTGCTCCAAGTTACAAGTTCTCTTTGTTAAGTAATGAGATTTTAAAATTGTTGCAAATAAATCACACACGATAATCAAAGAATCAATGGGTTTTAATATGAATCGCTAAATGGTTCAAGCAATATCTGTCTAAATTCCTCAGTTTTGCTCAAAATTTTCTTTTCCCCTTCCGATTATTCAAGGCATGTAATGCATTATCATAAAATTGCACGTTCATGTCATTTGGAAAATGCTAGCCGCTCGTAACTTGGTCATTGTTCCCGGAATAGTGCCCTATGTGTAACGCATTCCCCCGATACTACCGTAAATATCGCGCATGTCGGCCGATATTTACGTCGGCATGGCTCGTATATTCCGGAGCACCTTCGACCGGTCTCCCATGGGAGATCTTCCGCGTTGTGCGTTGTGCGTCGGCGTGTCACAAGAAACACGAGAGGGGAAGGGAAAAAAAGGATATCGTGCCGCAAGAGAAACGAGGTCCGGCATCGAGAGGCAAAAAAAAAAAACCGCGGATAAATCGCGACGGGTTGCGTCGTCGAACCGATGTTTAACGACTGAAACGGGATGAGTAAAATGTTATGCGAACGTTTCTTTTTTTTTTTTTTTTTTTTTTTTTTGTATTTCGATGAGAGTAATTATTAATGGTAAGCCTTATCTTTTAAAAAGCTGTCCTGAGAAAATTAAAGACAATTATCTTAAAAGAACTACCTTTTAAAGGAGTTTTAAGTAGCTTTAACATTTTCTTCTCTTTTTCTTAGATTGAACGCGAGGTTGAGCACAACAATTTTGCGATTTTTAAAGCGGTTTTTATTCTAAGATTTCAATCTAAAATAAAAAAAAAATTATTATTAAGGAATATGTTTTAGATTGAGATATTATCTTGTAACAAAGATTTATTTTCTGCTCGTGAAGCATCAATTACTGGACAGAACATTCTGTATACGCAATGCATACATCAATGCGTGTAGCTATCGGACCGATATCCGTTCATTTTCTCTCTCTCTCTCTCTCTCTCTCTCATACCAGATGCCGTAGGCGGCGACGATATTCGCGACTAGTCATCGAACCGATCTTGTGCTCACAGTGGAACCGGATGCGGGTACGATATGAAATTGAATAAAACGCACTGTTCACTGAACCGTTTCTATCGGAAGTTCTGCAAATATGAACGACGATCCTCCGCTTTCTTATTATTATGTATATTCGTCCGCTGATCAATGCGGTATCGATTATTCGAGAGATTTTCGGAGACGCCAGCGACAGCCGAGACACGAACGGACGTATAACTAATCGCAGGTTTTTCCCCTCGAAAGTCTGAGATTTCATCTCATTTCGCCAACTTCCAAGGAATAGGAATTTATTTCCGTCGAGACTATAAAAGGCAAGGTTCGATCACGGCGAAAGTTAATTCCACTTTTTTTATCGGCGACGATAAAAATTTTCATAGGAGCGAGGGAAACAGCTTTCATTTGTACTATTAAAACTATTGATTATAATATTGGATGATTGCATAAGTTCGTGCCCACCTTACAAACTTTTTTCAAGAAAAACCAAGTTCTTTCTTCAAAAATGGAATCGACAAGCTTGTAGATCGTTGGAAAACCATTGTAGAAAAGAATGGAGACTATATAATTGATTAATAAAAGTGTTATCTCTAAAATATAATCTATTGAAGTTTATATTTAAATCGGGCACGAACTTATGCAATCACCTGATATTATAATATTCTGGTTTTTTTTTCACAATTATGTTAACACATACGAGTGAAATATGTGTAATCACAAGATTAAGCGAGATATCATTACTATGACAGTTATTTTATGACGTTTCATGCTTCTGTGAGATTAAAGTCGAGGATTTCTTGCTCGTGTTGCAGCTGTCCGGCCTGGTGGTGGGCGGCATCGGAATTTTATGCGAACGTTTTTTTTTTTTTTTTTTTTTTGTATTTCGATGAGAGTAATTATTAATGGTAAGCCTTATCTTTTAAAAAGCTGTCCTGAGAAAATTAAAGACAATTATCTTAAAAGAACTATACCTTTTAAAGGAGTTTTAAGTAGCTTTAACATTTTCTTCTCTTTTTCTTAGATTGAACGCGAGGTTGAGCACAACAATTTTGCGATTTTTAAAGCGGTTTTTATTCTAAGATTTCAATCTAAAATAAAAAAAAAATTATTATTAAGGAATATGTTTTAGATTGAGATATTATCTTGTAACAAAGATTTATTTTCTGTTCGTGAAGCATCAATTACTGGACAGAACATTCTGTATACGCAATGCATACATCAATGCGTGTAGCTATCGGACCGATATCCGTTCATTTTCTCTCTCTCTCTCTCTCTCTCTCTCATACCAGATGCCGTAGGCGGCGACGATATTCGCGACTAGTCATCGAACCGATCTTGTGCTCACAGTGGAACCGGATGCGGGTACGATATGAAATTGAATAAAACGCACTGTTCACTGAACCGTTTCTATCGGAAGTTCTGCAAATATGAACGACGATCCTCCGCTTTCTTATTATTATGTATATTCGTCCGCTGATCAATGCGGTATCGATTATTCGAGAGATTTTCGGAGACGCCAGCGACAGCCGAGACACGAACGGACGTATAACTAATCGCAGGTTTTTCCCCTCGAAAGTCTGAGATTTCATCTCATTTCGCCAACTTCCAAGGAATAGGAATTTATTTCCGTCGAGACTATAAAAGGCAAGGTTCGATCACGGCGAAAGTTAATTCCACTTTTTTTATCGGCGACGATAAAAATTTTCATAGGAGCGAGGGAAACAGCTTTCATTTGTACTATTAAAACTATTGATTATAATATTATAATATTCTGAAATATGTGTAGTCACAAGATTAAGCGAGATATCATTACTATGACAGTTATTTTATGACGTTTCATGCTTCTGTGAGATTAAAGTCGAGGATTTCTTGCTCGTGTTGCAGCTGTCCGGCCTGGTGGTGGGCGGCATCGGTATCTGGACAGTGGTGGCGAAGCACAGCTACGTGTCCCTTATGTCCACGTCGACGTATCCCACGTTGGCCTACGCCTTGATCGTCGCAGGTGTACTAGCTGTCATCGGTAGCTGGCTCGGATGCGGCGGTGTAACTTCTGAAAATCGATGTGTCCTGCTGGTGGTGAGTCCTACTATCATATATCATAGTATCCGCGTTTGACGCTCGATATAAATCACAAATATCAATCGGATCGAAATGTCGGAACAGACATTCGGAGAATAAATATCCGCACATCTTATCACACGTTATTAATTACACTCATCTAATTAATTATAAATTAATTTGATTTTATTATTCTTTTTCTTATATTATATTACATATAATACGCGGGGTTAATTATGATCATTCATCAATCATCGCCACGTCCGAATTGCATTAATTGACTTCTAGAAACCAATGTAAAGTGCGCGACGGAGTTTGGCTCGAAGTAATATAGTTGGATCGATTACAGTAATAATTCCGCTTCCAGCAGCGTACTCCGTCAGTTTTCGCGGAGATCTTAATTCATTAGATGATAAATGACAAATAAATTACATAATTTACTTCGCTTTCATCTCGTGCTTCATAAATGAATGTTCCTCGCTAAAACGATGGAAAATGATGAGTTTGTCAATTAGCTTATTCATTCTTACAAAAAGAAATATTGAACGTAATTGCGCGAGACTCTCTCTTTCTCTCTCTCTCTCTCGCCGGTCTTATCGATCTGAAAGAGAATCATTTATCAGCAGGACAGCGTCATCTGATTAATTAATTCGCCGGCTTTACGAGCGAGATCGGGAATAGCTGCAGGAGCGTCTCCTCGACTTGAAAAAGCGAGGAAGCGGATATTGCGAATATCTCGGACAAAGAGAACTATCGCTGAAAGTACCTCTATTTGAGATACTAGATGTGCTTTTATACGCGCGATTGTTTGCGACGTCGCGATACATCGCGGGTCCCTCTTTGCAATCGGTATCACGTTGAACACTTTATTCGTTTAGCGGAAATCATCTTGAAATCTTATCAACCATATATCTAATTACATAATTTACTTCGCTTTCATCTCGTGCTTCATAAATGAATGTTCCTCGCTAAAACGATGGAAAATGATGAGTTTGTCAATTAGCTTATTCATTCTTACAAAAAGAAATATTGAACGTAATTGCGCGAGACTCTCTCTCTCTTTCTCTCTCTCTCGCCGGTCTTATCGATCTGAAAGAGAATCATTTATCAGCAGGACAGCGTCATCTGATTAATTAATTCGCCGGCTTTACGAGCGAGATCGGGAATAGCTGCAGGAGCGTCTCCTCGACTTGAAAAAGCGAGGAAGCGGATATTGCGAATATCTCGGACAAAGAGAACTATCGCTGAAAGTACCTCTATTTGAGATACTAGATGTGCTTTTATACGCGCGATTGTTTGCGACGTCGCGATACATCGCGGGTCCCTCTTTACAATCGCCGGTATCACGTTGAACACTTTATTCGTTTAGCGGAAATCATCTTGAAATCTTCTCAACCATATATCTCGTTTTTTTCACAATACCATATATCTCGTTTGGTCTGCTGATTATGAACGGAGATAAGGCGACCAAAATTTCATATTGGTATATAAAGCATTTTAGATTTGAGAGATTTTTTTAAAACAATATATACGAAGAAGAACCGAGATCAGATATAACCGGGAAAGAAAGAAGAGAATATAAATTTATTTATTATTTAAAAAGAGAGGTTCTTCATCTAAAAGAAATGTACAAAACATATATATACAATACATATATACATGTTATGTACACTTTATTCTTTTACATAAAGAATCTCTCTTCTTAAATTTAAATAATAAATAAATTTATATATATATATAAATTTATTTATCTTTTTTCTCGTTTGACCATGATTTTAGTGACATTCTGTATAAACTGTGTAAGCTACATGAAGTAGAGAATGGACTAGATATCAGAGACTAATATAGATACAGGGTAGATTAGAGACAAAGTAGAATATAGGTGGATGCACACAAAGTGTATCTCACTTAAAGCAAGTTGGTCAGAGAAGCTGTATGTGCATACAGTATGATGAAAATGAATTCTATGATATTTTGATGTGTAAAGCAAAGTTTATATTAATTAATGGACTATCACATACATACACATCAATATCAATTAACTTTAATTGTAATTAATGGACTCTTCCCTTTGAAATCTAGCGATTTTATTTATGATAGAGCGAGAACATTTAATTATCCATTGTCAGTAGATGAGCTACTTTTGATGTCGATTAAATTTTATACGTCTCTCTGAAGTCTCTCTTCACTTTGTGCCGGTTATTCCATCGATTTATCGGTATCCCTTCATCCTATTTAACGATCACTTGTCGATGCTAAATATCGTATTCTCCGAGACTTCAAAAGATTTTATTTATGCCGTTCGTTGTTAATATCGTTCTTGGAAACTTTCAAGAAGAACTTCGTCATAGTATAGCTTGAGCGTGCTGCTTGGAGTCAGGCTGCTCTTCACCTACGGGCTCGAACATTCCTTTGACTTACCGGAGCAGCTTCAACATTATTGCTCGGGGCGGTGCAGTCTTTGTTGGAAGCAAGTTAGTTACGTGACCAGCAGGAAAAGCATATCGATAAAGGATAGGGATTATACAAGTAAATTAAAAACTGTTGTTCAAAGTAAACTGATCTCCGTGTGCTCGGAAAAAAAACCGATTTGTTTTCACTGATAATGTACTTAAATCGTTATAGAGATTAATTAAAGATCGCTTTATATTCCGATAGATATTATATATTCCGTTGCAAAGACGCGGTTCCATTTTCTATTTCATATAATTAAATTTTTTTTTTTTTTATTATTATTGTACATTTTATTTTATAATATTTTAATTGGGCAATAATAATGTAACGTTACGGATTGATTGAATACAATTTTCTCTTGCGGTAGCGCGACTTTATTTTTGATTTATCGTAGGCGATCCATATTTTCGCGTTTCCGCGAATTTTACGCTCTCCGAGCGCACGCGGCCGCTAAAAATACGCACCTCTGGCCTTCGACAATGTCGTACAGGAAGCCCTCTCTCTTCTCTTCTGCTTTATAAATGAAAAATCGATAATCTCGCGGCCGATCGCAATGAACCGTAATGTCGATACGGGATAATTCACCGTGCTAGCGGCGGGACTCGGGGGCGCCGGGTTCTCTTTCTTTCTCTACATAAGTCGCTACTAACAATGCCCGATCTCCTCCTTTGAACCTTGCTTCAGGTAAAGGGAGTTGGAGCTCGCCTTTGACCTTACCCGTAGTCTACCACCTCCGACATTATCGCTGTCGGCCGACAAAGTCTTTCTCCGATGGAACCACCAACTCGTAGAACCAACCGTAGGTGCTGGAGCGTACTTTTTTTAAGACGGCTTAACTCGCGCTCGCCCGCACCAAAGGGACATTACTCTCATCGGAAATGCGGCCGCACGCGTGCACGCCAACACCCACGGGATCGTCGTGGCTTAACGGCGAACGTTAATACGAACTTATGGTATAAGGCGGAGATATCGCGTCCATCGGGAATTTCTCTATTACGATGAGCGCCGTAATAGAGGAATTCCCATCTCGATAACTCCGCTATGTTTACACGAATGATTATTTAATACGGTATACTCGCGCAGCCGTCACCGTCTCCGAGGAGTATCCGAGAGACCGCGAGGCGCCCCCCTTTCGTTCGCATGCGGTCCGCATCGCCATGCGCGACGGGTTTGACAAATTGTGCATTCATGCATCGTCCCGCAATATTATTTTATGGTCGCGCCCCCACGGGCGGCAATAAACTTCCTCTTAAGGGTACAGCGCAGTAAATTTTCTTTAGGGGCTTATTAAATGATTTAAGGTTTTCCGTGGCGCCCTTTCCTCCCCCCGGAAGGGATATTACGTCTACGTAGGTTTTCGATCTCTGCATTATTTATGTTTATTTTTGTTTTTTTTAGTATGCATTATTTTTCATAAACTTAATTTTTGCGATAGGGAAAAATTTTTTATTGCCGGTAGTTATAACGGTTACTTATACGTGATAAGCCTACTCGAAGATATATTTAGCGGTCTTTCTCTATCTCTGTTCGCATTCCCCCTTTTCGAAGGGGCATTCTTCGCTGGGTAATAAATCGACCTTAATCGGGAGTTGGCGCGGCGACCGTAATTGGTAACTCACACTTTGGCTATATCTCCAACGACACCGACTGGATTATCTTTAATCCTGTCTAAATGATAGTTAAACACCGGTAACGAGCTTTGCCGATCGTTACTAACCGCAGTATTCACCGCCACGTGGTTCCCTTTGGAAATTATATTGCCACTTCTACGCATGCCAAGTTAATTCTATGTAAAATGCTTTGCAAGAAATCATTTTCTATATACATTTAAATTAATATTTAAATTAGTAGTTGGTACATATATTTAAAAATTAGTAGTTTTATTTTATACTTTAGAAAAAGACTCTTTTTTATATTTATTAAAATTATATTATATTTATTTAAATTTAAGAAATGAAGCACTCAATGTGTGTGTGATCGTAGGAAATAAATGCTTTCACTTCCTCTTTGATTATTTTTTGCGCATTGAATCGCTGTAAAGCAAGTACTAATACCATTATTGCCGATAGAAAGTTCCACGAAGTATGTATGGGAGCAATTGAATTATCCTTTATCCAATTTAATCGACCAGTTAAAGTCCTTTTACAACCGGTATGACCAATAAAACTCGCGATATATACGCTTAAATCATGATGCACACGATCTTAATTGCGTAAGTGCTTGTCGAGGCGCGAAACAAATTATATTCTTTTATTTTCTGTATACTCATCAAATTGCTCTTTAAACTTTTTTCACTTACCAATGTAGCAAACGATATCATCTATGTGAATCGTATACAACTTTATAAAATAGAGATCTTTCTTAGTTATATTTATATCGAGATATTTTACTGCCAACTGGTATTTAATAACAGCTTTATTAAAAAAAGAATTATGTAACAAGAAGAAATAATACGATTCTCTGTACAAACGAGATATTCAAGCAAAGAATTTTTCACTCGCGTACCCTCTCCCATCTGATCGATGCGCGCGTAATGCGCTTTCAACACAGTCGATTCAGCCATT